AAATACTTAAATTATAAAGATAATAAGAATAATACTAATAATAATACTTAAGGCAATAGTAGTAATAATTAAATTAATACTTAGAATAATATAAAGAAGAAGAGGTGCTTTTATATACCTAAGAATTCCTCTCTTCTCTATCTCTAGAGCGCTTAGAAATATAGAAGACTATACTATATACTTATAGAAAACTAAAGTCTTAAACTTTATATATATTTAACTAAGAAAGAGATTATATAAATAAAGAACTACTATAATAGTAATAAATAAAAGAATTTATACTTAAAGCTATTAGCAGCAGAAGGCATAGAACTAAGCTTATAAAATAACTAGAGCTTTAATAAGAAACTATACTTTTTTAATAAGAGATTTAATAGCGCTATTATAAATCCCTAAATTACCTAATTATATAGGCAATACTTTAGAATCTATATAGCGCTTAAATAAGCTAAATATCTACTCTTCTTAAGTATACTATTAAATAACTATAGTACTATATATTTTATTAATAATATTAATCTACTTAAGCTAGGCTTATTTAGAGAGATAATAAAAGAATATATAAAGGCAGAAGTAATAAGCTATTTAATTATTAAAAGAAGTATATATATACTTAGAAAGATTCTATATAGTAATAATAGCACTAAAATAGTAGACCTTACTCTTAGTAATATAGCTTTTATTAAGAACTTCTATATTAATATTATCTTAGTAGATCTTCTATATAAAAAGAGAGCTTAGCTTTATAGTTATAATTATATATTATACTATAAACTATTAGAAAGAAGTATAATACTAGCTTAGCTAGTTAGAAAGTTTAGCTTAATTTTTCTTAAATATAAGCCTCTTAATAACTATATAAAGAACTCTTAAGAAAATACTATAATTTTAAGCTCTTCTACTATTATTACTATAAGTAGTTACACTTAAAATATATATATATAAAGCTCTTAGTACTAGAGGCTTAGTAAGAACTCTTTAAAGCTAAGAGAAGATACCTCTAAATTATAGTATTTATAAGCTAGCTATCTTAGTAAAGCTATACTTAAGAAGCTCTACTTAAATACTAAAAGTATATATATAAAGAGAATTAAGTATAAAGACTATAATATCTATACTTAAGTACTAGTATACTAAGTTATATCTAGGCGCTCTAGAGAGTATATATTACTATATTTATTTTAGTATATATATTAAGACCTTTAAGATTACTTACCTAGTTATAATAGTATAAATTAGCTTCTAGTATTAAGAATAAATACTTTAAGATAATATAAGTATATTTACTCTTTAATAAAGTATAGAAAATAGTAATTAATATACTTTTTTACTATAAGTACTAAGTTATATAGTAATTTAAGCTATTAATATATAAGTTTATATAAAATAATAAGAGTACTATAATTTAGTAAGCAGGTAAATTTATATTTTAATGCTAAGTAAATATATAAGAAATTAAGCTTAAAAACTCTCCCCCTTATATATATAAATTTAATAGTAGTATTAAAAGAGTAGGCTAATTAATTATACTATACTTAATTAAGATACTTATAAGTATAAGCCTACCTATAAACTTATAGTTAGAGAGTATATAAGCTATAGTATATCTTTATAATATAAGCTCTTACTAAACTACTAGTTAGAAATTACTATAGCAAACTCTAAATACCTAGTTTTATAATAATACTTAATTGCTAATAAGAAAGTATATAGTAGACTTAAGACTTAATTAAAATAAAGTCTATATATATAGCTACTATATATATCTACTTAAAAGAGATTATAAAGCAGGCTATAATAAATAGTACTATAAAATAAGCTCTAAAGGCTATATTAAGTATTTAGTTAAATACTCTGCCTTTAATATATATTAAATATAAATTCCTTACTTTAATAGAGTTATAATAATAAGAAATATAATATTTAATAAGTCTATCTTCTATAATATATATATAGAAAGTATAGTTAAGCTTTCTATAATAAAATTAAAAGCTTAATTTATAGCTCTTTAAATTAATAATAAACTAGATAAAGAAGTAAACTACTTACTTTTCTTTATAGAAAATAATACTATAATAAAACTTAATATATATTCTACCTTAGAGGTAGAAGCTTAGATAATTCCTAAAGGTAAAGAGCTAAGTATAGTAAAGCTAGAAATATATATAGAACTTTCTACTTTATATTAAATACTTAATTATATATTTAATATAAATAATAATACTAGTAGTAAACCTAAGTAGCTAACTAGTATACTATAAGCTTAACTAAGTATTAAGTTATAACCTTCTTAAATATAAATACTAGCTTAAACTAGAGATAAAATAAATACTAGCCTAGACTAGAGATAAGACTTAAGTAATCTTACTAACTAATATATAATAAAAGTAGAGTATATTAGCGCTAGAGGCTTACTAAGCGCTAAATAAGTTAGCTACTTACTTAAATATATAGTAGAGAGCTTAAGTCTTAATAAAGGCATTTACTGTTAATAACTATAAAATAAAGAGCTTATAAAGTATAGAAGCTTTATACTATAGCATAAAGCAAGCTAGAAAGAAGCGCTAAGATTAAAGTGCTTTATATAAAAGACATCTTAATATATATTTAATATAATATTTATAGTAGCTACTAGAGAATATTCTACCTAATTAGTAGAATATAAATATAAAAGCTATATAGAGCTTTATAATAGTATATATAGTAATTAATATAATATATAATAAGGAAAATAAAGCTTAGCTTTAGTAATAGCTTAATATAAAGAAAGTTTACTTAACTAACTTAACTTAATTTAGAGAAGGTTTACTTAACTAACCTAGTTAAAGCGCTTAAATTCTAGAAGAAGATATAAAACTACTTATTAAAAGCTTAATAAAAGAAAGTAATATTTATAGAGGTTATTATACTATATAATAAAGGCACTTAGAAGGAAATTAAGTATATAAATATTTAGTTTAGGCTGCTGCCTTTTAAGTAGGTTTATATTTATAAGTTTAATAAAAAAAGTTATTTTAATAAATATAAAGTATATATTTTTATATATAGTAATTTATAGAACTACTTTATAATTAAATAAACTTATATAGTAATACTTATAGTATATATATTTTAAATTATAATAGTACTAGCTACTAAGTATAATATAGAATTACTATAATTTAATATTAAGAATGTCTTTCTATATATAAAG